AAAAAAAAAAAAAAAAAAGAATCTGAGGTCTAAAAAGGAAGTTGGATAATCCTTCTGGAGGGAGTTGTTGATGGGCTGAGAACCCCATGCTGCTCACCCCTGCAGCCTGGTGAGAGGACTCATTATTTGGACGGGGGATTTGGAAGGGGCGAGAGTGGCCTGGTGACTACCACACACCCTTAGGAAAACTGAAGCTGAGAAGTTGAGGCAGAAAGAGTCCGAGGCAGATGAAGAGGTGCAGGCATGGTCGGAGAATCAGAGAGACTGAGAGCATTCTTTTCCACTGACCAGATGTGGACCACATTTGAGAGAGAGCCAGACTGGAGCCATTTTAAGTCTTGCTTAGGAGATCTTTCTGGAAAGTCGAGATGACCTCCATGGGGAGGTAAATGGCCAGGCATTTCCCCAGGGTTGAGAAAAGCAAGCTAAGCAACCTGCTGGAGGCACCTCCTGTCCCCAGGGAGCATGGTCCAATGTCCCTACCCAAGCAACCTGGGGAGGAATTGGCCTGGACATCCTCGCTGTCCAGAGAGGCTGAGCAGAGGCCACTGCCCAGTTACTCCAGTGCCCACCACACGGGACTCTGCTTGTCTCTTCTTTCTTCTCCTGCCTTTTACCAACACTGCAAAGGTCAGCAGCTGCTGTCATGAAGCTAGGGAGAGAAGGAGAGGGAGCATGCCCACAGCCAGGGTAAGCTCTCCCTCGGAATGACGCTTTTGACATCCCAACACCAATGGGTTGGTGACTAAAGTCACTTGGAATGAGCCAATAAGGCAGGGGCCTGGCCCAAGTGTTCCTCCTGCACTGGGGAAGACGTAGCCCCTGGGGCAGTTTGAGTTGGCAGTGGCTAGGCACAGAGCTGTCCTCTGGTGGACCCCCACGATCTCGGCTACACATGCATCACCTGGAAAAAAGCCCCGTCCTATCCTGGCTCCCTTCTTAGCCCCCGGCCTCTGGCAGTCCAGCCTCGCTCCAGCCCGGGATGCCCCATTAGCTGCTCACCCAAGCTGCTAGTGCCTGAGGCTAATGGCCCTGCCACCCCGCCCTCCTCTCTTCCAGCTCACTGCCCATCCCGGGCATCCTCCGGCAACCCAGTGAGGGGACTCCTGAGCCTCAGAGACATCTGGCAGTACCAAGAGGTGAGT